TAATCATTAGCCTGTATGCACAGACGGGAGCCATTTTGTTTTCAGCGTTGCTGTAGAATGAACAGAGAAAGCCACACACTGCTCTCTCTTACCTTACTCTTTTTTTCTTCTTGTAGTGTTTTTTCCCCTCTTTGTCTAAATTAAGTGAATGTGATTGTAAGTAGATGGTTGGTCTTTGAGTGTGGGAAAATATATAACAAAACTCCACCTGAGCACAGACATGTTGGTTCCCCTCCCTAGTCTTTATCCTAACCCTCTTACTGTGTCTATTGTAATTAATCTGGTGTTTTGGTATCATTCAGGGGTGGTGAACTTTTTTGTGGTCAGGGGCCACTTTTTTGTGGTGAGGGGTCATTTTGGCCTCTGTGAGATGTGTCAAGTTAGGTATCCCAAATTACAGAAAAATCAGTTGGGGGCCACACACAAGTGAGAAGCAAAAAACCAACAACTTACCCTCTCTGACATGGTCCCCAGCTGAGGAGAAAGATACTAGCCACATTCCCCTCACACACTAGAGCCTAGGCAGGCTCAGGCTGGTAGATTTTTGTGTGTTCCAGCCCCATGGGAGGATGGTAGAGGGCCTGGAACGCCAATGTATGCTCCTCAGTACTAGGGGTGTGGCAGGCCAGAGCCTCAGGGGCTGGATCCACGGTTGGCGGGGGCCGCATCAAGTCACTGGGCCTTTGGTTCCCCACCCTGGTATAGTTGTTGTCCTTTGAAAAAATAATAAAAATGATGTATAAAAACCACACTCCAACGGAGAGTGAGATACGTGGCTGTCTGGGCAACACTGCAAATGTGCATGGATATATCTTTGCTATTCATCAGCCTCCCACGCACACTGGATAAATTAGAGGAATATCAGCTTTTGTAAAGACAGATATAAAACTGAGACAGATCTAGAAAGCGGGTGTCTTTCAATTTTGTGGGGCTTAATCTGTGATACCTTAAAGAGGCCTGGTTTCAAGACAATAGGCACTCTGCATTTTGGCCTCTGTGAGATGTGTCAAGTTGGGTATCCCAAATTATAGAATCATAGAACTGGAGGGAACCTTGAGAGGTCATCAAGGCCAATCCCCTGCACTCATGGCAGGACCAAGTACCATTTAGACCAGGCCTGGGCAAAATACGGCCTGCAGGCCGGATTCAGGCTGCCAAGTCACCTGATCTGGCCTGCAGAGGCAGTGAGGAGCCCCAGGCAGGCTACCCAGCTTCCGCACAGCCCCGTGCGCCCTGCAGAAACGTGGCTGTAGGGCTCCATTTCTGTTTTAAAACTGGAGGGGAGGGGGGAAGTTTTAGGAGCCACCCTGCCCCCAGCACATTCCCATTGGCCAGTTTTTGGCAGAAACCAGCCAATGCGAGCGTCTTGTTGGAGTAACAGGCAGCTAAGTAGAATCACGCCCCCGCTCCTCCACTCAGTTATTTATGAAGCACATGGCCAGGCAAGCAGGCAGGCTGGGAAACCTTTTAAGCTCTGCAGGCAGGCAGGCTAGTTTGGCAGCTGGCAGGTAAGTCTCTTGGCCACAGCCTGCTTCTGGCACCGCAGCCCTTTCCTGCCCCAACTCTCCCCCCCCCCCATTCAACATACCCAAACCCTCTGTCCTCCTCTTGCACCTATACCCCCTCCCAGATTTGGCACCCCAGTCTCCTACCACAGATCACAATCCCCTCCTACCCTAGATCACATACCAAATCCCTGCACTCCAGTCCCCTGCCCTAGGTCACAACCAAACTCTCTCCCAGATTCCATTCTCCCTCCTGCACCCCAATCTTTTACCCCAAGCTCCCTTCTGCACTCAACATACATCCCAGACCCCCGCATCTCCTTCATTAATATCTTGGAAGAATGTGGCCCTTGACCACTTTCCAAAATCTTGGAGTGGCCACCCGTCAACAATTGTTGCCCACCCCTGACAGGTGTTTGTCTGACCTGCTCTTAAAAATCTCCAAGAATGGAGATTCCACAATTTCCTTATTGTGTCACCCCAGATCACTAGTTACTTTTGAAAACTTTAACCAAATTAGTTTCATCCAGGTAGGAATAGTTAAAAAAAAAAGCAGGGGGAGGCTACAGTAGTGGTGGGCAACCAGTGGGCTATGGGCTGCTGCAGCCCACTGAGATGAAGGAGGGCCACTCAAGCAGCTCATTCACTATCCTTGGTTGCCCATCACTGGGCTACAGGCTCTGTAGTGGTACCAAAGAGTTATGATTGTCGAAAGAAAATAACTTAGCGCAGGCTGTTGGAATAATCAGACTTAGGCTAAACAATGCTGATCCTAAACTGATATATTTATTATACTGTGTCTTTGTATGCAAACAGAACTGGTGATGGTTTATGGAAAAGGAATAAATCTATCCAAGGATTTCTTTTAAATCCAAACTGTAAATGTTTCGCTAATACACGGGTATAAAATGGGATTTTTTTTCAGCCTACTAACAGGATACTGAATGTTCAGGTGATAGATGGGCGTAAGAAAAGGACTATCTGGACATTGGAATTTTCGGAGGTGATGTATTTTGTTATTTAATGTAAATCATACACAATTGCCAGTGTTGGGCTGGTCATGATCTCTGAAGGGTACCTCTAGACAGTGGCGCTATTTTGGGATACTTCCAGTATCCCGAAATAGCATTTTCCGTGTCTTGAAAGCAAGCCTGTTATAACAGGCACGCTATTCTGACGTCCCTGTAAACCTTGCTCCACGAGGATTAAGGGACATTTCAGAATAGCACTCTATTTCAAAATACACTATGTAATTTGTGTAGTTCAAATCGCGTAGTTTATTTCAAGCTATGGGTGCAGTGTAGACGCACCATAGAGGGTTATGTAACAGATGGACCTTCTTTTAGAACAAAGAATTCTTGATGTTCCTCAGATCAGACCCCCAGGTCTTTTTTGCATCAGAAATAACTTCTTGTGGCAAGTGGGTGAAATTCACCCCCGTGCAGAGGACAGGAGTAGGTCTATGTAGCAGCTAAGGCCCATTTAGTCCCTTGAGATAGGATTTAAATGAAGCAGATCTCGTCCCCTGCAACTGCATGCTATATGCCTCTCTCATTGTCTGAGCCACAGAGAATGTGACTGCTATAACTGCCAGCTGTTGGAGTTAGTCCTTTAGCACCAGCTGTAGAGACTCATGTTCTTAAATGTAGAGGTTCTGGGTTCAGTCCCCATTGATGACCAAGATGAATCATTACTGGTTGACTTGCTGGCACAGGGACTCTCTATAGCAGGGGTGAGCAATAACACGGTGGCAATTCTCAGGGTTAGCCTGTGGTGGGCCACTACCACTATATTTCCCTGCCCCTCTGCAGGTAACAGCGATTGAAGCTCCTGTTGGCTGCAGATAGCCATTCCCAGCCAATGGAAGTGGTGGGAAGTGACATGGAACGGAACACCGCTTCCCACAGCTTCCATTGGCCAGGAACAGCAATCTGCAACCAGTGGGAGCGGCGATCATCAGTACCTTCCACTGTGCAGGTAAATATAGCAGTGGGAACCACCAGGAGCTAACCCTGGGGGACCAGACATGGTCCATGGTCTGGTATTTGCTCCCCCTTGCTCTGTAGTGTACAGGGCTCATATGATGCTTTCCCCTCCTGTACGGCAGTGCTGCTCCATTTCCGTTTGGCTCCACTGTGAGGAAGGTGTTTGTGAGACTACGCAGAGGAACCGCTGCCCATATGGTATGTGAGTGCACTTGTATTAGGAACATTTTGGAACAGCGTCTAGTGTTCAGAATGCCATAAAGAGCTGTAGAGAAGAATCTGTGTGCACAATAACCAGAAGCTTTATTGATCATATAAACCACATAAACCACAGGGGATGATGCTACATATTCCTCATTGCCCGTTACTGGCCCATTTACAGACAGGCAGCTATCAAGCGTGCTCAGAATATTAAGCAGTAGCCCTAATAGGTGTAAGTCTAAGGGCACGGTAGGCAGCCCTCATGCTGCCTATTCATTCTGTTGGCATGAGTGGTGGAAGCTGAGTACAGGACAGCCCTGGCTCTGCAGCATGCAGAAACCGCTCTCCAGTTGCATCCTAAGCTGGAGCTGTTGCATGTAGGGAAGCTGGGGGCATGGCTGGCCAGAGAGGGGCAAGGGATGAAGACTGGTTGCCTTCTGTGGCACTGTATCTTTTCAGCACTGTTGGTGGATAGTGTGGAGAGTAACATTGTCCTGACCCTGTCGTTTCCCCAGCTCCCTGCCTCAAAGTCCCACTGTTGATTTCTTCATTCCCTCACATTCCCCATCCCTCCTAGCAGAATGGAATCTCCCAGTAGGAACCCGTTATTCAGACATCTGCTAGGGAAAGCGGGAGAATCCCTGCTATTTATTAATACTAGGGCTTATTCCCAAAGGAATACAGTCCTGCTTAGGGTTCCCTGTAAGCTGAGCACTTGGGCAGCCACCCAGGAGAGATTCAAATGCCTCCCAGCTGATGAGCAGAGCACCCACACTGGCAGCGTGTGTTTCTACTGGTGGTGCACATCCACACATGCCTTACTGCACAGAACAAAAATTATTCCGCACATGAGTAGAAAAATTAGAGGGGACATTTATTCCTGCTCCATTTGAACTCAATGGGAGTCTAATTAGGCGGCCAATATTTAATTAGATTTAGAATTTTCTTTTATTGCAGCTAACAAAAAACACAGGGTTAAAGTGCTGATTACGTGGGATTGGCAGTGTGATAAGGTTATTAGCTGAAGGAATGAGTGATGGTGGCCAAGCTCCTTAAAAACCCTAACTCATTCAAAGCAAATTGCACATGTTCACAGTGTATCTCAATGAGCCACATGTCTGAATGGACAGCACAGCCTGCTTTCACTGCAAATGAGAGTCTTCCGAAAGAGCATCAGACCCAAGAGTAGAACCAAGGCTGCTGGTGGCACCGTTATTCTCACTGAAGACTCAGCTGCTTCTGCCCTAGAATAGAACATAAAAGCTGAAGTTTCAATCTAACCATCAAAAATGGACACAAAGACATGATGTTTTGTCTCGGAAATATTCCAAAATGTTGCTTTAATATAGTCACATTTCTGAGTATTTTACAGAGCCGGAAGATGAGTCTGTGGTGCAAATCCTACACAAATCCAAGCCACTTTTTTACATAATTACTTTTAAAAACAGAACTATACAGCTATTTGTAGTGGGCTACTTCTGACATTCAGTAGCTGGGGAAAATGAGGCATGTTGGGAGCAGTGCAGCACCTTAATCTGAATTTCCTTACATAAGTAGGAGTCAGTGAGCTCTTTAATGCTATTTGATCATGTGATTCTTATATGCTATGGTGCACAGCAGTTTGCATTAGCATATGCGTGGAGTCTTGCGGCAAGATCCAAAACTTATAGACGTCAACTGAAAGATTCTCACTGATTGCAATAGGTGTTGGTCAGACACTTTTATATACTTCATATGTAAACATAAAGAGCTGTCCTGATTCATCCCAAAGCAAGATCAGGGGCTAGATCTTTTTTCACAGTCATAGGAAGTCAACAGGGTTACTAATGTGAAAAAGGCTCTGAGACTAGATCCACATATATTCTTCTACGCATTGGCTAGGTCTACACTGGAGAGCTTACAGTGGCATAGACGTATTGATACAGCTGCCCCACTGTAAGATCTCTTGGATAGCCACTCATGTTGACATACTTAAAACACCCCCAACGAGTGGCAGCATCTGTTTTGGCAGGAGGAGCTCTACAGACATGGCGCTGTGCACACTACCATTTGCACCAGTGAAACTTAAGTCACTCCAGGTAGTGCTTTTTTCACACTTCTGAGAGACTTAAAAGTCTCTGGGGAGGGGAGGGGGAGCTGTGTTAGTCTGTAACTTTAAAAACAATGAGTAGTTCTCTGGCAAGTTTTGCTGATATAAGTGATAGTGTAGACATGGCTTAAGACAAACTTTTCTGCTCTCTAATCCCCCCTCCCTGTAATTTATTGTCCTGTCACAAACATAAACACATGAATACCCTTGTGAATCAGGTATTAATGACCTTAACCACAGTATAAACCTGGTGACATGCCTAGGAAATTCTGCCATCTCGATTATGAAGGTTTTCCCCTGGATTCCATCCAGAACGAGTCCTGGAGGATAATTATTTTATTGTATACTTCTTGCCTTGAAATCTAACTACATGCAGAGTATGTTAAATTGCTGTCCCTAAACAAACATCTAAATCTAATATTTACTGGTTCAAATTCATTCTCTAAGGAAGATTTTTCAAATAACCTGTTTGCCAAATAAATGAATTTCTTCACATTAAAACCAGATAAATATACATGGCACACTATGGAGACGTTTCTCCTCTCTGACCTGACCGTGTAACTGAGATCCTCAATGCAAATGTCTATTACATAGTGTGCGGTTGTTTCACACGTGGAATTTGCATCGCATATAGGCATATGACATTGAGCTTTGTGTGCGTAATCATGTCTTCCAGTAGTAGCTAGTCCCACCGAATGTAACAGCCTGCTACTCTCTGAGATCTCCTTTAACACATGTAATAGACACCTGTGGTTTTGGTACTGAAGGGTTGATCCTCACAAACAACCATACTGCTCAAGTAGGAGCCATGAGCTCCATAGAACTGTGTGAAGTTACTGTTTTTGAGATCAGTTCACACTGGAAGGACCGGGAGATTTGCAATCGGCATCAAAGGGAGAAGGGTCAGAGTTTGATTTCCTGGGTCTGGTGGGTTCACTTCCCTTAAATTTAACTTTAAGAGCAGAGCTGCCTCAAACCTGTTTTGACAAAGCAACGCCCACAATTAAAGTGATGAATTTGGCTGAAGCTCATGGGCTTGCAAAGTTTTGCAAATGAGCGTAAGGAGTCATCCCTCCTGTCAGCTGTGATGAGATCCCCACGTGTTGTTACAGAAACAACCATTAAACCATGATATGCAGATTTGGGGAAGATGGGGGTGGGAGGAAGATTCTCCCTCCCCAGAGGCATCAGAAAGCTGTCTTAGCATTTCAGCGAAAGGCTGGTACTGCTCACAAGAGTGTTGGCTGGTTTGAGTTCCATGAACCTTAAATTACCATGGTTTTCTGTGATTCTCAGCTTCTGATGAACAAGGTTTCACAGTTCTGCACGAGCATAGAACAAGTGCAAAATATGACAAATTCTCTTCTCAGTTACTTTGTTGCTGCAACCTCAAGCAAAGATGCTGGTGCAACTGAGAGCAGAAGCTGGCTTGAAAATCCACAATTAAATCAAAGGCAAGAATTTTACCCTTCATTTCTACACATTTTCAGTGTTGCACCCGATTTTATTTTGCATCAAGTTAGTGTGTGTTCTATGCTTTAAACTGCTGGCCAAACTTTTGTCTGCGGAAGCAACAAAATGAACCCAGTCCAATGATTATCACGGATAAAACTAATGCAACCGTTAGTATAATAAGCAAGTTAATTTTCTTTAGATCCTCTTTTTCACAGACTTCTGATCTTATGTTGCTAATATACATTTCTTCTTGATACCCAAAGCTCCTGGAGTACTGACATGTTATCTGCTCTACCCCGGGGATCTCCACATTTTTATTCTGGATTAGAGAGGAGAGCCAGGCATTTCCACAGCAGCTAAGTGGGTTCCCAGCAAGATATAAGTTTTTAAGAGAGTTCTCTAGTGCTAAAATGTTACTGCTCTGTAGACTACTAAAACGGTTTTTCCGTAGATCCAGAACTTCCAGTGAAGCATCACTATTCCACTTGGGTAATGCGCTCAGCTGATTTTCAGACAGGTTTAAATGTTTAAGAAGTTGAAAACGAGGCAGGTCGATATTTAAAACTGTCATACTGTTGCCATGTAAATTCAAATATTTAAGAGATGTCTCCAGTCCTGATAATGCTGTAGCCTCTATTTTCAGTCCCTGGTTCATGGAGAGATCCAGGAGAATTAGTGAAGTCTTGTAAAAAGCATATATTGGTAAGTTCTTCAACATGTTGTCAGCTAGATATAAGTACTGAAGAGCCGGGAAGTCAACAAATGATACACAGCCATTCACCTCACCAATAAGCCTTTGTTTAGCTAATCCTGAGTACATGCTGCAAAAGCTAATATTATTACTTTGGAGGTTAAGCAATTTGATGCTGGGAAGGCTCACAAAGATATCAAATTGCAGGGCCTGGAGATGATTGTTTTGAATGTAGAGCTCCTGTAAATTAGTCAATGTGCTGGCATCAAGTACGAGATTCTGCAAAGCATTGAAGCTTAAATCAAGGATGGCTAGTGAGGTCAATGCACTGTCATAATTCACTATGAAAGTCTGGAGGCAATTTTTACTGAGATTAAGGAATTGAAGGGAGGACATTGACTCAAAGAACTCATTTGAGATGGAATTGATTGCATTATAACTTAAGTCTAAATATAAAAGCTGTGATAGATACAGAGAACTTGTGTTTGAATTTTGCTTCTGATCCAAAAGATGAAAAGGAGCTTCTAGCCAGTCCCTTTCCTTGTAGTTCATCTTCTCATGAGACGAGTCTGAACTAAGCTGTAATAAATTCTTAGATAAATTCAGATAGGCCAGCTTGTTCACTTGGGGGAAAACTGGGAAGCGCAGTAGCTTGTTCTCACTAAGATCCAGCCATACCAGGTTATATTCCTCCTTTGACGCTGTGCTATGGAAAGTCTCAATGCTGTGCCTGCTGAGGTCGAGTATCTGCAGTTGCCTGAGGCTGAAATCTGAGATGCAAGTGATGGAGTTCATGGAGAGATTGAGCTTGGTGAGGTTCATCAGCATTTCAAAGGCACCTTCTTCTATATCCATGATGATGTTACTGTGGAGGTCAATCTCAACAAGAGCCGGAGACCCTTGGAACATCCTTTGCAATATCGCCGTTATGCTGTTTTCTGCCAAGTCTGCAGTTGCCTGAGGCTGAAATCTGAGATGCAAGTGATGGAGTTCATGGAGAGATTGAGCTTGGTGAGGTTCATCAGCATTTCAAAGGCACCTTCTTCTATATCCATGATGATGTTACTGTGGAGGTCAATCTCAACAAGAGCCGGAGACCCTTGGAACATCCTTTGCAATATCGCCGTTATGCTGTTTTCTGCCAAGGAAAGATACTGAAGTGAGGGCACATCGTGTATAAAATATTCAGCCATTCTAGTGTACAGACTGTTGCGGGACAAGTCCAATTTTCTGACCGCTGGTAAAAGTCCAATCCCTGGTCTCCTGTGCTGAGCAAACTCATCTAGCTGATTACTGGATAAATTTATCTCCACCAGGCTTGTCATGTGGGTGAAAACTCCAGGCTCAATGAAACTTATTTGGTTGAATCGTAAATCCAAGTGCTGGAGCAAGGTGTAAAAGGTCAGTGGCTTCTCAGAGATATTTTTTATCTGATTTCCAGACAAATCTATTGTATTTACGTCTGGATGGAGCTCTGGGGGGATTTGATGAAGCTCTTTGCCATCACAAAAGGCCTTCCTCTTTACCTGCAGAAAAGAAAGAGAACAGGGAGCCCTGGTTAGTATCTTTGGGTATGTCTACACTACAAAGTTAATTCGAACTAACAGCAGTTAGTTCGAATTAACTTTTCATAGCGTCTATACATGCAAATCGCTAGTTCAAACTTAATTCAAATTAGCGGAGCGCTTAGTTCGAACTAGGTAAACCTCATTCTACGAGGACTAATGCCTAGTTCGAATTAAGTAGTTCGAATTAAGGGCTGTGTAGCCACTTAATTTGAACTAGTTGGAGGCTAGCCCTCCCCAGCTTGCCCTGGTGGCCACTCTGGGCACAACCAGGGAAACTCTTCTGCCCCCCTCCCAGCCCCAGAGCCCTTAAAGGGGCACGGTCTGGCTACAGTGCTTGTGCCAGTTGCAAGCCTGCCAGCACCCAGATAGCAGACCCTGCACCTGGCACGGCATGAGCCAGCCACCCGCTGCCACCCACCCCTCAGCCTCTTCCCAGGACCAGGCTGGCAGATCCCAGGAGCCTGCCCAGGGCCGCAAGAGGCAGGCACCCGCCTGGTCTAGTGCGGAGATCGTGGACCTCATTGAGGTTTGGGGGGAGGCCTCCAATGTCCACGACCTCCGCACTAGGCAAAGGAATGTGGCTGTCTAGGGCAGAGTAGCTGCCAGCCTGGCCACCAAAGGCCACATGCGAACCCAGGAGCAGGTTTGCATGAAAATCAAGTTGCTCCAGTGAGACCCCCCACCCTGAGCCCTGAGCTTAGAACATAAGAACATAAGAACGGCCTTACTGGGTCAGACCAAAGGTCCACCTAGCCCAGTAGCCTGTCTGCCGACAGCGTCCAGCACCAGGTATCCCGGAGGGGATGGACTGAAGACAATGACCAAGCGATTTGTCTCGTGCCATCCATCTCCAGCCTTCCACAAACAGAGGCCAGGGACACCATTCCTACCCCCTGGCTAATAGCACTCCACGGACCCAACCTCCATGAATTTATCTAATTTCTCTTTAAACGCTGTTATAGTTCTAGCCTTCACAGCCTCCTGTGGCAAGGAGTTCCACAGGTTGACTATGT